TTGTTTGTGGTTTTGAGAATTTCATTAACCAAATGGTCAAGCTACCCAGACATGCAACTGAGCAGCCAACTGCTTGGCCTCAATGAAAATGTTTTTTTTTTTCCTGTTTTCTTTTTTCTTTTCATTTTATTTGCTTTTTCTCTTGAAGCCTTCTCCAATTTTCTTCATTTCTTCATTTCTTTCTCCAACTGGTTTCTCTGTTCGGCTCACAAGCATTTGTCTGCAACACTCCCTGGACCTCCAACTCCTCCTCCTGTTACAACTGCAACATGGATATGCCTGCATGATCATTTCTATTCTGTTTTAAATTTATGATAAGCTCACCATACTAAGCTTAATTCTGAAGGTCTTGTTTCATCACGAGCTCAGAAGTCAATCAAGGAAATAGGTCACAGGGAGGGGAAAGAAAACACCTCCCCCCGCCAGACAGTTCAGTGTGGGATAGGGTATGGAAGGCAGAGAGTTTGGGTGACAATGAGCCTCCTGGGATTTGAATAAAACAAAACAAAAAACAAGTGCACAAAAGTAACTATAAATAACTGTGCAAAAATCCTAATATTTAGGATAAATAATTTGGATTGACACTAGAGTTTCTCGTAAATGTAAAAAGATAGTAGGTGAACATGGGCGGGCTGGCAGAGGCCAGCAGTGGATCTAGGGGAGGTCCCCTCCATATTTCTAGATCAAACCGAGGACAACAGTGCCAAGAAAATTCTTTTCTGGATTGAGCTCCTCCATACCTTAAGGTCTGGATGAGTGGTTCCTCCCCGTCACCTTAAGGTCTGGTGAGAATCCTCCCACCCCTCTTATCTCCAAGGCCTATATCAGAGCATATGCAGAGACACTACACTAATACAATCTGCAGGACCCTTTTTTTTTTTTAGAAACTTGAGCATATGCCTGCCTGCGCTTGTAGTAGTGATCACCAAGCTACAAGAAGTATGACCTGAAGTAAATTATGTGTTTTTTACTATTGTTAACGCTTGGAATCAACTAAACCATAAAATTACAAGATGGTTAACTGAACAGTATTTGTACCCGCTTTGTAAACTTAACAATCATGTTTATATTGGGAAGTTCAGTAATAATAATCCAGATGGCCAAAACTTCCATATTTTGGCCATTCTTATTCTGAAGTATCCACCTTATTCTGAGTTATCCACACAAGCAAGGCCATTAATTCGAGGTTGAAAACAGATACTTTGTTATGAATAAGCTTTACAAGGCAGTCGCGGTACTGTAATTAAACAGACATTGTTTGCTCCTTGCACTTAATTCTTACGAAAAGAACGTGAAAAACAACTAACCTCTATGTAGGCTTTGATCCATACTTTGGAGTAACCATCCTCATCTTGGCCTTTTTCAGTCGTTGTATACTTATCTCTTTGAACACAACGAGGTCGTAAAGAGTCGGAGCGATTTGCCGAAAAATAATTTTATTCAGTCCCAGTCTCCGAGCGGATACCTGATTTTGGAGTATCCATTCTAGTCACGACCAGAACAATATTGCTCTTGCCACGAGAACATAAAATTCATATCTTCGAGCTAACGTGTAATATTCTTTTTATTATATAAACATACTGATGACGGCGTTTTTGATGATTTTCCGAAGATTTCCGACCACCTTCCGAAGATTTCCGAAGATTTTTCAAATTGTCCCGAAGACCAGACGAACGTTCCCGAACATTTTCCGAGAATTTCCGAAGATGTCCGAAGATTTCCGAAGATTGCCGAGCACTTTCGAGGAAGACCCGAAGATGTTTCGATGATACACCAACGAATTTAAGTACAATTTAAGAGACAAACCTGATGTCAGTGAGATTATCGATATCTTCACATGTAAAAATATTGTATTTTTACGTGTGTTCAGATACCACATTTCTCGGTGGTAGAAATCCTTGTAAAACACTGCAGTTTATATAATAAATCTAGTTTTGAGGTCCTTTTTGAAAACCATATCTTTTATGAAAAAGTTTCCTCAATAAAGATGATTATCTGATTATCTCACATTCTGTTGATACTGGCATTAGTTAGGCAGAGAGACTTAAAAGAATCAAAAATGACATTGAATGTCCTATTTACATGTTGGAAAGTACTAGAATAATTACTATCAGTCTATAGAAAGAACTCGTGGGAACGTTGTTTAGAAAATGATCAAGTGGTTATCAACTCTGGTTTTCCCACAGTAAATTGTAGGAAATAATAGAAATTCAGATCGTTTATCCATATATTTAATATACGGTGCACGATATTTTCTCTGGAAACACAATACTTTTCTTGCTGTTTGTTGCACTTTATTAAGTAACAGTTATTTAGCTATATATTTATAGAAAACAACAACACAAAAAACGGGAAAAAAAAAAGAAAGAAGGAATAAATAACTCAATAGGATTCGAACCCCGCACCTTCGACTCGACGCGACTACACTTAACCGCTACACCACAGAGACTGATTAAGTAGTCTTTTGGAAAAGTCTTTCATTTTATTCCTTTTCCATGAAACTTCCGCCGGCAAGATGATCGCCAGCAGCATTAACCGAGCTATTAACAGTGAAAAAACAATGTAAACGCATATTCCATGGCAATAAATGAATGAAAGAACATAATTATGCTTTTCAAAACGCCGATACACGTCCTCGTCTGCAAAGTAGGACACAAAAAATGTTTTGTTTTCTCAATTTCCGCTGTTATTTTGAAGCGAATGGTCAAAATCACATCCATTTTCGGCTCATACAGTTTCTTAAGAATAGCATTGCATGACATTTTCTCACTTTCACATCACCTTCTAGCAAGCTGGAATTTGTATATCCCCCGTGTTGCGGAGTCGAAGAGCAAAAAAGGCTCTTGAATCAAAAAAGGCTCTTGAATTGAAATCCAATCCCCAAGTTAACCATCGTACTCATCTGAAAGACTCCTGCGTGTCTTAAAATTTGCTAAGACCTCTAACCGTGCTGTAGAAAATTTGCCACAAAGAAAACTCTGAGAAGTCTGAGCAGCGAACGATGCACTCTCTCACCCACCGAACTTCCCCGTGTTTTATTTGAGTTGTTCGTGGCGCAATGCACTCTGGTTAAATGCAATGCATTGTGGTAAAAAGTGTGGTTAAATGCAATGCATTGTGGTAAAAAGTGATGAATTCGAGAATCCGTCGCCCCTTATATATTTCCTTTAAATCCTGATTATGTTGCTGCTCGCTCCCTTCGGTCGCTCCGCGTCAAAAAGTGAAGCGGTCGTATTTGACTTTATTTTTGACTAGCGTCAAAGGTGTGGTCACAGCCACCACACCTTTGACTTCATCTTTGACGTGTGTCAAAGGTAAAGTCAAAGTTACCAGCATATTTGACAACGCCTTTGACAAGCGTTAAAGGAATAGCAAAGCGTTGACGCATTTGACTTCATCTTTGACGCGCGTCAAAGGTGAAGTCAAGTTTGTTACCCAGTGACTTCGCTTTTACCAAGGTCAAAAGAGTTAACCTGAGATCAGGCTCTATTTTCGTTTCGCATTCAAAATTACATTCCGGCCGGCAAGGCGAAACGAAAAGAGAGCCTGATACAAACCTTCTTCGAAACGTCTGCGCCCACTTTTTTGATTGATTGACGTTTGCCGAATCAGCCAACCAAAATTACTTCCGTTGCTTGTTTTTCTAGTATGCAAATTTTTCACGCATAGGAAAAATGCAGACTGGCTGACTTAAAAAATAGATTTATCTGTTAATTTTCTCAGCTAAAAATAAAACAGGCAGCACAATCACATTTAACTTCTTGGGAAATTAAGGGAGATCTCGAAGGTTATTTCTGTTGGCGTAGAGGGTAAAACGTTTTCGAAAAGACGGCGACACGATGTTCTACTAGTTTTATTATTTTAGCTAGGCGAGCTCGAATTTAAAATACTGAAATATTTTTCTGTTGCCTTAAAATTTTCCTCGGCAATTTTCCCCGATTTTCAGTACATAAATCTTTAAAAACAAAAGCAAACAGCCAACAAGCGAGGTGACCAGTTTTCCTGGTTTATATTTTACTAAAAGCGAAGGTAAACAACCAGTCTATTATAATAATGCCTACAAAAATTCCTTGAACAGCGATGCGATATTTTTCGTCTAATACTTCACATTTGGCGATTGAGGTTTCTTTCGCAGTGAGCCTCCGCTTGCGTACCCAGCTCAGAGAAGCCATTCCCGGCTAAACTTTCAGATGAAACCAGTTTTAAGATGGACAATATTTTTATTTGCACTCGTTTGTTGGTAAATCAAAGGGCACCTTGTTAGCGGTCAACAACTTGCAGAGGGATTCAACTCTGAGATACGCTCACATTAGTTCCGTAAATAAAGCAAATCCTGAGAAGATATGAACAACCATATGAATTTTCTGAATTTCCATGGTACATATTAAGGCATATTTTCCTACCATAAGACCATAAAACAATAAAAAAGACAGCAAAATCGATCCTTTTATCGCCGACGACAGATCATTCACGAAAACAACCACGCGAAGAATAAGTGCTTTCAACTTCCGGCGTTTCCGACAGCCAATCACATCTTGTGGCATTGTTCTAACAGCCAATCAGCGTTACGGCCAAAATCTGGCTGTAACGAGCACAAACGTGAGAGAGTTTGTATCAGGCCCAATGTTAGCGGTAGCCGTCAGAGAGAATGTCTAAGAACCGCTAAAATTGGGCCTGATCTCAGGTTAAAAAGAGTAAGCTAAAAGGTTATATATTTGGTGGCATCTTTGATGCGCGTCAAAGGTGGACGCAAAGCCGATACCATCTTTGACTTAACCTTTGACACGCGTCAAAAGTGCAGTAAATCCACCTTTTTGTCCCGTGAAAGTTTCAACTTTTTCAAAGATATAAATTCTCAGAAACTATTCGGTATATCGGGCTCAGAATTTCACAGATAACTGAAATTGTTATGCTTTTTCAATATTCGAAGAGTTTATTTTGATATCTTGCTTACAGAATGGGTCATGTTAATGAGGCAAAAAATGTAAACAAAGATTCGCCTATAAATAATTACAAACTAGAGGACCAGCGATGTTCACATGAGGATTACTGTACATATAGCCAACAAAAACGTAAGGGCCATGGTTAGCCGTGCTGGGGTCTGTTATTGGCTGGGGAGGGACTGCGCTATCATAATCTATCACAGGCGTTTCACCTGGTTTGTGAGACCACAAAGCGACACCGTGAGCATTCAAGCGGTTATCCATTCGATACCAATGAAAATCCTGTCCATCTAGAAGAGAAAATAGAAAAATAAGGGGCCGACTATTTTGACTTTTGAGGGGGAGCGGGGTATGAGTGATTTCAGGAAAAAAATTATCCTTCAGACTGATTTCGAGGGAAAAAAAATCTTGTAAGGAAAAACTTGGCAAAAAAAATCCCTACACTGTATAAAAAATTATCTTTCATGGGGGATAAAGCTGAAAAAAAATCTTACACCGTTGTATGTCAGGAAAGGAATTCTATCGCTAGAGGTTTGGGAAAATATTCCTTCCCAAACCAAATCACCCATACCACACCCCCTTCAAAAGTCAAATGGTTGACCCCTAAAGTGGTGCATACATGCTGTCCCAGAGCAAAGATATGAGACTTGTTGGCCGCTTTAACGAAAATATCATTTAGGCACTGGATAATCAATTCAATCATACAAACAGCCAATAATAATTAAAAGAAAAGCAGCGTAACTGAAATAATGCAACGCTCATTAGTCTCAATTTGTCTATTTGTAGGCAAATTTTCCTGGAGTTAAATTCGTGGGGTCCCCACTCAAATCCAATGTTGTTGTTACAATGAGGCTGACAATTGTATCATCTTAAGAGGAGGCTTCCAAAAGGCTCAAAAAGCGAACAGACAGTAAAACTTTCAACACAAACACAAGCTCTGTCATTTTTATTGCAAATTCTTTTTTAAAAATTGTAATTTAGATCGTATTATGGTGTCAGCGGAAGACCTAAATGCACGAATTTTAATTTTCAACCCGTAGAAAATCCTGTCATCTACACAAACTTTAAGGAAGACCAAAACGAAGAATATTATTTTTCTTTTCATTTCTGATCGTAGATGTGGTCCTTAGGAATTCGATTTTAGGAAAGTCAGTGCCCTTGGTTGACAAATTTAGCTTAATGTTTCTGAATACTGGAACCGATAACGTATCTACACGAATCCAAAGACTTTTGTTCCAGGGCCATCGTAGTTTAACCAAGAATAAAACATAAACTGCGGTGATAAACATTGTGAGCTTTCGCATTTTCATATATCCGATTATATAACCTGGACTTTTCATATGCTAGTCAACATACATCTTTAGGTCACTTTTAAGAATTTATGTTGACTAGCATACAAAACGTCAGGTTAAAAGAAGCTCACAATGAAAGCTGACACAATGTTTATGACCGCTGTTTGTGTTTTATTTTTGATTACACGAATTCATATTAATTTGTGATCAGTGTTTTCACTACCGTTTCCGTCCTCTTTGCTTGGGGCTCCCGATAAATAGAGTGCTACTGTCCAGCATGGCATTACTAACCTGGTCTTACAACGAGCGCAACCACGTGTTTGTTGTCGTTAGGCTGCACAGGAACCCCATTGGGGTCCAAATTTGCCGCAGGTACGTCAGTGAGGTTATCGCGACGGGCTCTATAGGCAATCCTCTGGGCAAAAGTAAGTCCTGGAGGGGGGCCTGCTTTATTAAAACCTGGCTGTGCATAGTTGTATGTTGGTCTGTTATTCGCATAGTTGTAACAATTGTTGCAGAGTTGTAGTCTTGTAGTTAGCCAATCACCAGGTGCGTAAGGGGGAGCGGCACGCTTCGCTCCAGAAACTGAGCTTGTAACAGGTTTTACTTCCCCTGAATTGATTTCTGATATAATTTCTTTGACGAAGTCAGGAGCAAGCAAATCTTTAGGCATGGTTCGCATCAGTTCCAGTTGGATCTTCATCGTTTCTGGTCCAACGAGCAGTCGAACTTGCTCAGTACCGCTATTCACTAGAATCCCTTTATAGCCAAGCCTGGGAGGCATCTTGCTAGGGTCATAGGAGCGGACGTTTTCGATTGAAATACTGGATGATGCCACAGTCCATTCCGGATCTGGCCTGCCTGAAAACACTACTAGAGTGACATTGTAAAGCCCATTTACTGAGAAAGAAAAACATAAGAATAATTTCTAAAAATCACTTTTATTAACTGATGAAAAGTACAACGCATCAACATCAGTTTAAAATGACTAAAAAATAAAATTCAATGTTTAGGAACATAACCAATAAGAATACACATAACTATCCTCTTTCACACTGTTTTTATACATAACGTCCCGGTGAACTCCCGAGAGGGAATTTTGATACCTTTAAGGGATGGCCGAGATCCTCCAGTTCATTGAACAAATTAGTTACTATCCCTGGCTCTTTAGAGTTATTGTTAGAAGCTCTAGCTGACTTTTTGACTAGTCAATCTTACTTTAGCTCGTCAAACTGTTTTTTTTTGTTTTTTTGTTTTGTTTTTTTCGAGTGCGAGCATCCGTTTAGTGATAAACCGATGGTCATAACCGAGCCCGCTGATGCAAACAAACGTCTATTAGGCCTGGGTTCGAAACTGTATCCTAGCAACCTGCAGCGCATCCTCAACAAAGATCTTACTGGATTCATGCAGAGTCTTCCTCGAGTACGCCGAATGTGAGCAAACAAAAGACTGGCTACTGGCTGGCTACTTCATGTTTTTGTTTCTGAAAATAGTCACTAGAAGTATGGATTTTATTATTAACAGTAATAATAAATTTGATAAAATAATTCTAAATTAAGTGGAATGTTATAATTCAATAAGTAAAAATAGAAATAAAACTTTTTTTTAATGCAAATTTGAAAATCTGGCTGTCAAAACTTGGTTGCCCTGGTAAAGTCGATAGGGACTTTTAAGATCCAACCGTGCGCGACGGCAACGAGAACATCGCTTAAAAAGTGAATTTGCGTTCTTTCAGTCTTTATCGCGATTACCTGTATTCACACACTTTTTCAAATATAGGCGAATCCTCCTGAAGGTGAATTCCAAGAGAACATATCCAGGTTCACGTAAGGGTGTGCGTCTTAGAGTGAAGAGTCGATATATTTAGGTTGTTTTTAAAACTGCCTTGCTAAATTCCAGAGTTGTTTCAGAATGTGACGACAAAACTGATTGATTGAAATTTAAGTAACCTTTCCAGTGGGAGGTGGTAGCAGTAGAACATGCACAATATATTTCTTACCTGGCTTTTGCTGAAAACCAGTCACAGTGAGGAAGCAAAGTTGAAGAATGCTTATAATCATCATCTTCGGATAGGTCATCATTCTGGAGACAAATCTACAGTAGCAAGAAAAGTAATAAATAGTAAATCAAAAACAAAATTAAATTTTGGATGACAGAACCTCCATTAATTTTTACACGCAAAAGCATACCCCACCGTGGCACAGGGGGTGGGGTGGATTAGTATTTCGAAACGATTTTGCCTTTGAGGTATATTTCATGGATGGTGGCGCTGCTGGAGGCCTGTGATGTCATCTTGGCCGCCATCTTTGATTTGATTCAAGAATTAGAAAAAAACGCTCAATATGTAAAATTACACATTCGTAAACACTTTGCATCATTTTATCCACATACTTTACTTTTATTGCTGAAAGAAGATGAAAATGGCTTGAGCTTGATCACCTTTGACTTATGACGTCATATCTCGCAACCATAGAAACTGACCATCACTAAACTAAACTCAAAATGCGCGCGAGGGATAAACGAACAGGTACTGCAAACTTCAGGTGCTGGTGTTTTATCCTCTAGGAAATAAATCAGAAAAACCTTAGAGGGCAAAGGGTCTTTACGTCCGTGGGTTAAGAGCGATTAAGCGGCCACCGAACCACCGGCGACCCTTCGTCGAGCATTGTTGCGCATCAGCGGACTAAAATGTATTTAAGCCCGCTGAAATAGACCAATGAAAAATGAGAATCAAACAGTCATACAAGATAAGCAGCCAATCAAAGTCGAGGAGCCATTACAATGTTCCCGGCGCCTTTTTCTTGCATCGTTTGACAAAGAAATCACGGTCCATTTTTCAAAGCTCAAATCATGGCCGAAAACACAGAAAATAGCTGACAATTTCTAAGTTCTTGATTTCCTTAGCTAGAGGAAGAAGATCTAAAAACGTAAAAGACGATTAACGTTTTTGCTCTTTCACTGAGCCAAACGCAATCAGTTCAACCAATTATGCCAAACTTTTACTTTAAAATTTGTACACTTTCATTTAATTTGAACACGTATAAACAAGATTTCCTTTCTAATACATTTTTTAGAACTCAAATGGAACGATATTGTAATTTGTAGCCAGTTTCGAGCAAAAACAAAAGCCATCCAACATGTAATGCTCGCGTGATTTGCTTTACACCATCCCGTTGGTTCTGCATTTTTCGAAGTTTGAATAGGTTCTCAATGCCCTCCAAAGTGATGATAATAGTAATAGAGTTTATGTTCTTGTGTATCAAATATGTTTGGGGCTCTTCTCGCTGCTCATTTAACCCTCGCCTAGTGGCCTCGGGCTAAAATGAGTCTGAGCCGTGCCCGACACTAATAGGGAGCTTAAGCAACGACGACGCGGACGGCAACGAGAATAGCCTGCGAAAACATCCGTTTCTCCTCGCTCTTCGTCGCTGAGGACGTTTCGCGCGGAGGAACGTCTGCGACTCAGTGACAGAAATTCCATACTGATGACGCAAATCAATGTTTACATAATAAATCCGGTAGTCATGAGGTTCCAAATATAAATTTGTCTAATTTTGCGTGTCTTCTGGTCGATTTTGGTAAAGTGTTGTGTTGATCTGCCCACGAGCTCCAGCAAAACTCAAATGCTTCTTCTAGAGAAGACTATATTCCACAAATATTGACTGTTTTGTTAGAGATTCTTCATGTTTACATTTGACCTTTTTGGCCTTTTGTCTTTTGTCTGTCATTTGTAAACAATAGCTAAAACAATGTAACTGCTCCGTCGACCAATCAGCGCTTCTGACCGGATTCTGGACAGATTTTACGTCATCAGTATGGAATTTCTGTCGCTGAGTCGCAGACGTTCCTCCTCGCGAAACGTCCTTAGCGACGAAGAGCGAGGAGAAACGGATGTTTTCGCAGGCTACAACGAGAACGGCAAAAAAGCAATAGGTTTGATTAGCAAAACAACAACTTAACACGTGCATCACGCTTTTTTGGTACATTTCTTTGCCGTCGTTGCCCGAATACAACGTGAAAGTGCCTGAATTCACGTTTTGTCGAGGACGGGAACACAAGACAACAACTTTCTTTTCTTTTCCTGAACTTTGATACAGTCCTTTAGAATTCAACTCCAAAAACATTTGCCAACATTTGACGAAGTAAACGACACGGAATAAGAGCGATAAAGTTTGAAGCGGTGCGAATTCACTTTTTTAAGTGACGTTTTTGTAGCCGTCGCCGTCGTCGTTGCTAAAGCTCCCTAATATTAGGGAGCTTTAGCAACGACGACGGCGACGGCAACCAGGACGTCAAAAAAGATCTATTACGCAAAACAACAACTTTGGACTTGCATCACGCTTTTTTGTACATTTCTTTACCGTCCTTGAACAACTACGACGTGAAAATGCTTAATTGCAAGTTTTATGGAGGACGTAAACAAGCGACGATGAATCTCTTTTTCTCTCTCTAAACTTGAGTGCGGTCCTTAAGAAATCAACTCCAGGGAAATTCGCCTACACTTACCATTTTCAGCAAATTGGAATAAATGCGACAAAGGCTGAAAAAACGGGAACTAATTTTAAAACTGACCTTTTTGCTGTCGTTGCCGTCGTCAATGCTAAAGCTCCTTAATAAGTAGACTACGAGTAGTCCCCCATTTTTCCTCAGGGATAATAGAGCGAGCGAAACGCGAACGCGCGTGAAAATCACCCCACATGTCGCCTTTTCTCGCGTGGGGTGATTTTCACGCGCGCTCGCGTTTCGCTCGCTCTACGATCCCTGAGGAAAAATGGAGGACTACTCGTAGTCTATATAATAAGTGGAGAGTCACAAATTATCGGATAGGTGTTCACACTATACAGCATAGCTTTAATTCGTCTCGGCACAAAACTGAGCTATCCGGTACAGTGTGAATATTGCCTAAATAGAAAATTGATGGAAAACAAAACGCCTATGATATGCTCTTTTAAAAAAGTGCCCAATAGCCTGCGAACATGCTCTCGGGGCGCTCTGGCGGTGGGACGGGAAAAGGCAGGAGAGCTTGAAACTACGTTTCTGGAGTTTGAATTCCACCTCCAATTCCCCTGTGGCTCCCCGTCGACTGATCTGTCAGATTTTCCGCCAATCAGCGCGAAGTGGAAACGAGCGCTAATGTAATCAGTTTTTGAAAAACACGTACCAAGGGTAATCACGTCATTACCACTGTTATCTACGCCAATCAGAATTTCGCAACGACTTTTTCGATGCACATATTCAGATTACACAATGTAGTTGCAAGCTCTCCTTCCTTTCCCGCCCCGCCGCCAGAGCGGCCCGGAGAGCTTGCTTGTTATATTTAGTGTCCTTTTCAAAAGAAGCTATTATAAACATATTCTTCTAGGACTTAAAACATGAACGTTTTGTAAGATTGAACTACACTATTCATAACTGTTTAGCTAGCAAACTCTGATTGTTCGTGTTAGAGAAAAGAAAAGTCTTTCAATAAGCAATTGTTTTGGGGCAAAACTAACATAAAAATACGACATTGGGCCTAATTAAAAAGTCTTGTCAAACTTACTTTCTATAAATCTTTTCAGACTATAGGTGTTCTGGTGTTCCAAAGACGGAGGGAACATTCCGTCTGTTAAATATAAGTGGCCTAAAGTTTGTCTTACTCAAGAAGTGTCGAATTCGATTTTCTCATTGGTGAAATCCAAAATCCACTGTATTTTATTGGCTAACTGCAACTAAAAAGGTTCCTAACCATTTGACTAAACTAAGAGAAATATCCAAGACGTAAAATTCAAATTAGCGTTACGTTGTTGAAGGAGAAAGTCAGTTCCAAGTAGCGAGGGTCAAATAGGCCGTTAAGTCTAAAGAATTAAACCAAGTATACAGTTAAGTAGTTCGATATGGTTCGATGTATAGTTAGATACTCGGAAAAGTGTACACAACTGCCACCAG